TGGATGAAGCAGAAGTGGATGAAGCAGAAGTGAATGAAGCAGAAGTGGATGAAGCAGAAGTGGATGAAGAAGAAGTGGATGAAGCAGAAGTGAATGAAGCAGAAGTGGATGAAGCAGAAGTGGATGAAGAAGAAGTGAATGAAGCAGAACTGGATGAAGCAGAAGTGGATGAAGCAGAACTGGATGAAGCAGAAGTGGATGAAGCAGAAGTGGATGAAGAAGAAGTGAATGAAGCAGAAGTGGATGAAGCAGAAGTGGGTCTTGTAGCTGTGCACAGGTCCAGATGGATAAACAGCTTCAGGTCGATCTGCAGAAAACTATCTTAAAAACATGAGAAGAAAAGCGTGACTAATTTGTTGAAATTAAAGAAAGTAAATGTTGAATCTGAGCCGAACACTTAAAGATGAGTTGAAGCAACAGATCTGAGTTTGACTCAAAGTAAACTTGTTGCTTTAATCGCCGACCTTCATCAACGAGCCGAACTCTGGCAAACATACAAGCTCATTAAATGCTGCAATCACTTCCAATTCTCTCAAGGATGGTGTTCATAGAGAAATGCAGAAGCTCTGCTTTAATTAGCAGGAAGAATCAAAGGAAGGGCGGAGGATGATGATGGAGACAGATCAAAATGGGGAAGAAAAGAAAAAGAACCGGGCGCAGAAAAGGGGAGACATTAGGGAGAACACAAAGGACATAAACGGGAGGAAGAGTGCACTCAGGAGGAGGAGGAGAAAATAATAGCTCTTTGGATGGAAGTGCTATAAATACATAGAAAAATATTCAGAAGGACGGAAGGGAGGAAGAGTGGGGAGAAAAGGCTGGAAAGAAGAGTGAGGAAGAGGAGGGATGGAGCCGAACAGAGCCGTTTGGATGAAGGTAAGTGTTGTAAATCACAGCATGCAGTGTTCATTGTTCTGCCTCTGCTGGAAACCACCTTCACCCCATAAACATCTCCAGCTGATGCACAGAACACCAATAAATGTAAAACCCGTCCTGCTGCTAAAGCTGCCTTCAAATGGTTCTGTTCTGGTTCCTGGGTCCAACATCCTGCCATCGGATGTGGTACCCGGACATCTCTGACCTGCCTGTGAGCACATGGGGGGCTTTCAGCGCCTGCTGCCTTGTTGCTGAGTAACAGCAGCAGCTTATTGAGTGACTCGTCTCTGAAAACACAAACAGCCGGTGGAAGTGGCCTGATCTTCCAGCTGAATGAGAATGGCTCATTAAAGCGTTGCTTCACCGTGGCGCGCATTTCTTCCAACAGTCTCAGAGCTTTTCTGTGGCATCTCTGACAAGTTGATGAGCTAACGGCCTCCCGAGACCAGAGAGAGTCTGCATTGATCGTCATCGCAGCAGGAAAAGGATGGTGATGAAACGAGCTGGTTGTGGTGCAGCTCCACGCTCGGAGAGCAGAACGGCGCCTCCAAGGATCTGGGGCTGCTTTTGGTGTTCCGCACCCAAATCTTTTATTTTCAGCAGATACGACACAAAAACAAAACAAAAGAACTTTATTATTAACTCATCTGTTTCCACCGGGATGGGCCAGGAACCACTTGCAGAACTGTGACTAATGCCGAGGCCAGAACAACACACTAAACTCCAAAAAATCATAAAGTTCATAATTAGCTGTAAATACGATGTCCATGAGCTGCTGAGAGGGCACAATCTAAAAAAAATCAACCAATCAAACTGGGAGTTTAAACTTTACACAGTACATTTAATATACAACAAGTGTAATTAACATTCATAAAAACACATTGATCAGAAATAAAGGGCACTCACACACACACACATTCTGGTATAGAACCATAGAATCCTGGGGTCTGACTATTTCCTGGGCATTATTTCTTCCATCCCATCATGTACATGTACATGTACCCAGGTCTCTCTTGTAAAGGAGTCTTCGTGGCTCAATGGGACTAACCTGCTTAAATAAAGGTTGAATGAATGTACAAAGGTGTTAAAACAACAGTCAGAACTGTCAAAGGCAACACAATAGCATTTGAGATTAAAGTTGGCGTTCATCAGGGTTCATGTTTCAGCCCATTGTGGTTTATTGTTGAGATGGACGCAGTCACTGAACTTATTAAGAGAGAAGTGTCGTGGGATACGTTGTATGCAGATGACCTGGTTGTGGCTGGAGATTCTGAAGTTAATCTCAAAGACAGTTCCAGACGGTGGCAGCAGGCACTTGAGAGTAAAGGTCCAAAAATAAACGCAGCAAAAACCAAGACCATGGTCTGCTCAAAAGCTAAAGAGAACTTAACAATTACTGATGATAGAGGAAATGTACAAAAGCAGGTCGAAACGTTCAAGTATCTGGGGTCGGTGATAAATGCTGAAGGAAGCTGTGAAGAAGACGTTAAACGCAGAAATGGTGCAGAGTGGCAAAAATGGAAGGAGTTGACAAGAGTGCTTTTTGACCAAAGGATGCCGATTCGTATTAAAGGGAAAGTGTACAAGATGAGGATGTGCACAGTCTTGCTCTGCGAAGCTGAGGTATGGACTTTAAAGAGAAAGGAAGAGGAACTCATGGAAAGAACAGAAATGCGGATGCTACGTGGGATTCTTGGCGTATCCCTCAAGAATAGATGGCGAAATGACGATATCAGAAAAATGCTTGGTGTGGCAAGCATCACGGATAAGATACAGGAATCAAGAATGAGATGTATGGGTATGTGCAGTGAATGGAAGATGACAACAAGGTAAAAAGGCTATTAAATGCAAAAGTTTTTGGTCAACGACGCAGGGGACGGCAAAAGAAGAGGTGGATATGATCCAGCGGGATATAAAGAGAAGACACCATCTCACAATGGACGATACACGAAACTGAGCAAAATGGAGAAGAAGAATCCATGTGGCTGACCCTGCTCCAAGAGGAGCAGGACCTACAGCCTGAAGGAGAGAGAGAGATTTCTTCCATCACATCATGCTGCAGGCTCCATTATCAGGTTCTAAGTTGCTAACCATTTCCTCCCAGATCTAATTCCAAACATAGCAGTCCATCTGTTGCACCCTGATACGTGTTAAAGCTACTCTGCTCACTAAAACGTTTACATTCTAGTCTGTCCGGTACAAAAATCTGTTTCAGACATTAGACCTAGAGCTGAAAGACATCTGAAGGGACTTACGATGTTCATCAAGGTGAGCAGGTAGTTCTGTACGTGCTCCTTGCCATGAAACCGGACCACCGAGTCGTCCACTCCCAGCAGGATCTCTATGTTGTAGTTGTTCTCGCCTGCATCCCGGCGCCGCCGCTGGACGGTCTCGTTCACCTGCTGGGTCACTGAGTCCAGAGTCCCAGGAACCTCCAGCTCTGCAAGACAAGTTACAAGACAGAAGGGGACAAAGTGTGAGGACTTTAAAGATTGTAATCTGAATCGCATCATGTTTCTGTCCTCGGAGCTTTCAGAATAAGCTTCACCAGATTCTTCATGACTGAATGGGAACTAAAGGAACCGGACGTCTGTCTACAGGTTCTTCTCAGTTGATTCAGAAACTAAATCACTCCTCTGATTGTTGTATTTTTTTAGTTCTCGTTTGTTTTTTTAGTCATTTGTTGACCCTGCGGCCTCTAAGCGCTGCAGACGTTGAGTCAATATGAGTTCAGGGTCTCTGAGACAACAAACTTTGAGTGTCAATAACAGAAACATAGAATCTGAGCTCAAAGCATCTTTTCGTTGGACTCCGGAAGAAAACAGATCACGTGGTCTGACTCGAGGGGACCTGGGCCCAGCTCTGGTCCAACAAATGAGACACTGGTAATGATTTGTGTTTGACGGAGGAAGCTGCCAGAACTGAACTGCCCTCAAACGTTTCTTAGCCTTTCACTCAGACAGCGCAACAGGTCCATGAAAGCAATGAGAGGCCGGATGACAACAAGTCCTTTATCTGGTCTCCTCCGAGGAGAGCCAGCCTAATCCGAGGACACAAATATTACAAACCCACAGGCCTTCCTCTGTGACGGAAGGTTTTACTCTTACTAGAATCAAAGTTTTCCTTTGGGTATCTGCTGACTGGTTGGTCATTCCAAAGCTGGACTGCAGCTTTAAAACCTGCAGGAGGCATCTTGGTTTGGTTTTACTGGAGCTGCAGACCCACAGAGGGGCTGTCATTTCACTCTCTGCTTGTTTTGTGTGTTTTAACCACAGGGCACCATTTTACTGTTGTCAGCCTGGTATAATCTGAACTGAAAGGAGATTGGAAAGGATGTCCCCTCTGTGCAGAACAAGCAGAAAACAAAGTAGATGAGAGGAAGTGTCTCATGAGCTCCAGCAGAGCTGCAGAACCGGCTCAAACACAAATCACTGTCTCCTAATGATATTATATTTAGAGCAATAACAATTTAAATACTTTGTTTTCTCTTCTTGTCCACCTCACAGTTAAAATTCAAAAAAGTGTTATTCGAATATCTGATTCAGGTTTAGGAGGTTCCATTTTGCTGTGACGCACAAATGAAACACATCAGGTTTGTTTTGCTTTTCTAGGTGGGTTAAAACTAACAAGGTCTGGTCCATTTCTCCACCAAGTCGACCCGCACTCACACCCAGGGGTGGAGGGGTCCGTTTACACCAGGTCATCATTACTTCATTCACAGCACCGCAGGCTTTGTAACAACTGAGGACACAACACAACACACTGCACGTTGGACTATCTGACCCACCGGGCTCCTTAAAATGCACGCACATTCTTGTCAACTTACTTTTTGGGGACTTTGCATTGACTTCCATTCAGTTTCTATTGCCTAACCCATCTACAATTCACACCTTAACCCCTAACCCTCAACGAGACTGCTCTTTATGGGGACCTGGCTTTGGTCCTCATAAGGAGCAGTTGGTTCCCACAATGCAGGACTTTTTGTAAAATTGGTCCCTACAAGGTAACCTGAAACAAACACACACATTGATCTACGTATGTGAATAAATACCTTCAGTGCTTTCATCACATTCAAACACCCATGGGGGGCATCGGGGACAATGAGGGGTTCAATGTCTTGCTCAGGGACACTTTAACATGGTGGAATCAAACTTGGAACTCTCATAAAGTTAAGACTGCTTTAACCACTGATCCACCGCTGCCCCAATGAAAAGACAAATAATCATGAAACGAAAGGGAAAATATTTTAGAGCTCATATCTCCATGAAAACACAGAACGTCTTACAGAACAGAGGTCTGGTTGCTTTGTTTTCAAACTTTTGATGGTCCTGGATGAAGGTCTAGACCAGCACAGAGCCAGCCAACAGAGGTCACCTGACCCCTCGTTCAAATGGCCAGTACAGAATTCAGGTACAGTACACCTGGCTGGTGATAAAAAGAGTCTGAACGTCATTTAAAAAAAAAAAAACCTCTTCCTGAAACCAGAAGAGCTCGGGTGAAGAACTGGAAGCCAGAAGGCTCAGGTGAAGAACTGGAAACCAGAAGAGCTCGGGTGAAGAACTGGAAACCAGGAGGCTCAGGTGAAGAACTGGAGACCAGAAGGGCTTACAGGAAGAACTGTGGAAACCAGAAGAGCTCAGGTGAAGAACTGTGGAAACAAGAAGATATCACAAAAAGAACTGTGGAAACCAGAAGAGCTCGGGTGAAGAACTGGAGACCAGAAGAGCTCAGGTGAAGAACTGGAAACCAGAAGAGCTCAGGTGAAGAACTGTGGAAACGTTAGCATCAGCTGGACCAGAGGAACTCACAGAAGGAGACTTCATACTGAGGAGAAACTCTTCTACAACAGAATAAATGATTCCAGTCACGACCTCCTGGGTTTAAAAAAAGGACAAAAGCTCCTTAGCTCCATGAATAAAGTTTTTATTTGATTTTATACCAGTGTTCGATTTCAGCTCCAGTAAACTGGTGAAATCTGGAGCCAGAAATAAAAGCACAGACCATTTTTCATTTTGCAGTGATGCTCAGAGCCACAAACAGGGGCGCTGATTGAGTGGGGGGGGAGCTAAAATAAACAGGGAGAACCGGCTGCCACCTCAGCTGTGGCCCGGTTCTGACAGAGTTGGGATTGTGGAGCACATTCCACCTCTCTCCGCTGCTCCCATCACGACACAGATCCGTCCTCCCCCTCCTGAATAAACAGGCTTTCTAAGGTCCCCACTTCAATCACGCGACTTCCCCTCAACTCAGATCCTCGAGACCGACCCCGCCCTGGCCCGGCCCAGCCCAAAACCCAGTCCCAGGGGAGCCCAGGAGACAAGCGCCTGCCCACACGTGACACTGAGCAGCAAGGTGGCAACAAGGGCAGCCAGAAACGCCGCAAGCTAAAAAAGACTCCTAGGCAGGAGACAGGGACGTGTCCATCAGCCTGCAGTGGAAATCTACTGTCTGCTGTGGACATTAATGTCTGCCGTGGACATTAATGTCTGCCGTGGACGTAAATTTCTGCCATGGACAACAATGTCTGCTGTGGACATCAATGTCTACCTTGGACATTAATGTCTGCTGTGGACATCAATGTCTACCATGGACATTAATGTCTGCTGTGGACATCAATGTCTACCTTGGACATTA